CCTGTAGAATGAGCGAGTTAAAAGTTGTGACAAAAATGAATCTGAAAGCATTATGTGTACATATACCAAACCAAATAAGTTGCCCACCTGTCAAGTGAGAGAGCTTCGGCTCTATGCGCAAAGTCGTCGGCAACAAATGGTTGACTGTGCTCCTCAATATCGAAGAGATTTTGCTTTGGTGAACAGGCCATTTCCAATTGTCGGTTTCTAGAAAAGCGGCAGATAGACGAGATCTTCTCGGGGACAGTCAGCGAACACTTGGAAGTAGAAACTATGGGCATTGCATGGTCTGAAGATTTTACCTTGTCGGAATGGAGATGAGGCAGATTAGGAACAGTGGCGTTGGGAGTTTTCGGTAGATAACTAGGCGTAGCAACGTTAAGAGAAATTGAAGTAGCCACATAACCGCCAGAAGAAGCATTTGACAAGGGGGTAGTTGGTGGAACACATGCTGGCCGTTTGGCTGTTCTTTTTGAAGTTACTTGCCTGGCTATATTACTAGTGGTGTTAACCATGGAGTCAATAGGCATCTGCACTGCATCAGCGAGTTTAGACTCGACATAACGACTAACGATGGAAGAGGAAGTGCTGGAAACGGGCAGGTAAGCAGTTAAAGGCGTCACATTATTCTTAGCTGCCTTGGTACAAGCCGGGGCTGAGGAAGAATGCGCTGGTAAGGTGCCAGTGAGCCGACCAGACATGGCTTTGCGAGATGGATTCGTTGTGGTTAGTAGAAGTTTTGTTAAACAGACTTCGGTACGACCCGCTTAATGCCGAAAGTGAATGAAAACGTGAAGATAAAGGCATGAGAATAGAGAGTCGGTGTGTACAATAAAGTGGATGAAAAAAAGAATTATTTAAAGATTAGTCTTTTGACTTTAGTGGATAAAAGTTAATCCAAAAGAAATAGTTTATTTTTTTCGATACTCACATTTAGATTTAATGTTTGAGGGATATAAGAATAGAAAAAATAAAAAATGAAGATTGAGGCAAAACTAGTTTTTCAGGTAACCAATATAGCACAGGCTGAATATAAGCGACAAAAATAAAAGGAAAACCTAATTATAAACGAAAAATGAGTAAGGAAGTCGATTACTATGGTAAAATATACAACTTTGCCTCATTGGTAATACCACCACAGAATGTGATATGGGAAAATGCATTACGTTCATTGAAATTCACATTTGCCCTGTGACTCAAGGGCACTCATGCCAATGTGGCTTAGTGGCACTTTCATGTTTCAAGTCCTGCTGAGAATGTTAATGAGACCTAGGCGAGGTCGAAACTGTAGTCCATTTCAGCCTGGATGAGAATATCTTTTGGGAAAGCAAGGCTAACAGAAATTCAATGGAAACGTAAGGTCAACTCATCACCAGTTAGTTACTTTATCATCTCAAACGAAGTAGGGCGGAAAAACCTGATAAAATAAATGAGGCCGCAAATAAATCGGGGCTGTAAGGATGGGCCACAAAAACGCATTTTGTTAGGCTTAGCTTGAATTAGTCTTGTGCCAATTTGACGAGAGAAAGCAGTGAGATAACTTGCCTTTGCCTGGTTTTAGTGTGCTGGCTGCAGATGTAACAATCAACGACGGAGAATTGGAATTAGGTAGAGGAGGTTGAGTTGGAATATCTACGCTGGCAGTTGGCCCAATAGTTCGGCGCTGCTTCTGCTGCTTGACCCCGATTTGAGAAATAAGGCGTCTGACGGAACCATACGGGTGGAAGGGAGGCACAACGATGAATTGAAGATATCGGAAAAATTGAACAAAAATTCTAGGAAAGTGAATGAATTATCTAAAACAGCCAGCCAATTCCATATAAAATAAAATAAAATTCAAGAATGTTGTAATCACATTAATTCAAGATAATTACAAAAAAGCCTATGAGAGAGCTTAAAATACTATTCATGCTAAGATTCTAGTCATTTCCATAGGTAATTCCTGTAAAGATAGACGAGAAAATAAGATATCACTGCTAGTGATGAAATCGATAGCAAAATTTTCAGTGAGTTAGCATAATTTTCAGTTAACAGTGACTCTAACCTTCGACGTTGATGCATTTTTGGAATAATGAAGAACTAAGAGCAAATAACTAAGGTGGAAGAAAAGGTATGTATATGAATAAGGTCACCTGTAATAAGGAATAGGAATTTCGCACTAGGGCTTGAGCCTTGTTCCATTTGAGAAAAAAAGAGCGTAAATACAAGAGTTCGTCATAAAATGTTCCATAAATAGTACAAAAATGACAATGGATCATAAATTTTGACGCAGGTAAACAAAGGAGTGGGCTCTTACTAATGCTATTTAGGACGATCATAAAGAAGAGTTAAAAAAACGATTATTGTTTTCCTAAAGGTCATGAAACCACACAATTTTGGAATAGTAAAGAGAATAAAAGGATCATCTGGTAAGGGAGCGTCACAAATGAGAAGCGATGCCTTAATGAACTTATGTAAATCCATCTAGCTATATGACTAGACTAGCACCAAGGAGACCCAATTAAACAAAATAAATTTAGCTAATCAACTCAGTTGAAGAGCTTATCACAAGTTTATATCCCGTAATCAGCCCCGTGCAAGAGAGATAAAGCAAAAAAAACTAGAGGTTCCCAACAGTGAAAATCGCTACTAACCAATTTAATTGGACCTTTAAGTTTGTATCAAAATTTTAGTGAAAAGGATTCATAATTTAGCCGAAGTAAAATCACCCAGTAGTTGCGGCATAGGAATTGTTGCATAGTACTGAGGCTATGATGAGTCCGTGTTCACATTTTATCTGTCATGTGACTGATATCGTCCTATTTCCAAGGCTAACATCCTTTAGCTTCAAATGGGGCTAATTTAAGAAACTCTTATATAAAACTTTTAGTAGAAATATAAGATCCATTTACAGCTAAATATAATTATTTTGCTTTCTGAAGTTAGAAAGGAAAAAGTATGTGTTTCAGTTGAGAGAAAAATGCTTTGTGGAAATGGACAAGCATGATTTGTCCGAGGAATATGAAATCATGCCAAATATGCGATCTTAAATAAATGCAAGCGCGACATTTGAGAATAAGGTCAATTAGAAGATAGCTGTCAATGACAGGACGGACTAAACTATATAAAGAAGTTGTTTGACCTTGATTTCGCAACTTGGTCATAATGGTAGGAAGACTGATAGAAACGCACCTTGTCCTGAGTCCATTGTATGCAT